ATTTAAAATTTTACCGGAATATCGCTTCATTTCTGTTGAACAATACAATTCAGCGTACTGTCGATGGAGACATTTGAATTTTTAAAAGACATAAAGTAAAAAATTAACTGATCACATCTTCTTATTAACATTTTGGCCGATGTACGGATGAAATACTGCCTTCGGACTCGGCATTAAAATAATTAGACTTAAATTAGCAGTGTATGTCTGTAGCCAAGGATTTCCGATCCGATATCTAGTGGAGATGTGAGGCGCATCGGGATCATTACACCTACAGGTACATGTGGACTAAATGTTTAAAAATAAAGAAAAAATTGGGAGGAGGGGCTACATTTGTAAAGGCAAAAAGTGAATAAATTGATAAAGAAAAAGAAAAAAAAATCGAAAAGAAGTATTTCTTTCAAATGGAATTTGAACACTTATTTAAAAACAATAGAATAGTTTACAAAAGAGTCAAAGAACTCCTCGGACGTAGCGATCAGTACTCGATATTTTTTCCAATGTTGTCCTAAGTATTCCAATTTTTTGTGGATTGAGCAAATCAGTCAGTAATCTTAAAATGTTTCTATAGAAAAGCATTAATTGTAACTGTATTTATTGAGAAATAGAGAAGGTATTTCCAAAATTTTCCCAAGGGTTGCCAAAAAATTTCTATGACACGATGAATTAATGAAAATGCAGTGTCGATGTACACAAAAAACTTCTCCATGTCTATAAAGAAAATAAAATAGCCTATTTATATAAAATTTATTCAAACTTGCAGAAAATAAAGTCAAATTAAGAAACATGGTATACAAAAAAAAATTAATCAATTACTCAGGATCTATCAGGAGTTGGTGCGTAGTATATATACAAATTTTTTCAATATCTTTACTTTTGTGATCGCTCGGTTATCCCTATGATCATAATATTATTAAAATATACAAGTCAACGGCATAAAAAGCATTGATTGTGTTTGTAAAAAATATGCAATTCTGACCGAAATGAATGTTCATATAAATCAGAATGGAGAATAAACAGATTATCTCAATAATATGGCTGCATTTTATATCAGTATCATAATGGAAAAATATATTTTTACTACTTTTTCTTTCCTATATCGATATTTCATAGTTTATTGGCAATAATTTGCTAACTTTTATTTTCGACATTATGAAAGCGTAAAACTGGCACTGAAGACTTTCCTAACTTAAAATCAAAATCGAAAAATAAATTATTGACTTTAATTCAAAGTAATAAAGGTAAAAGCTTTGCTTCGTTTTTAAAGAAAACCATGTTAAATCTGAGATCAGTATCATGTGTCTCCGACCAACTTGAAGTTCAATCACTGACATTATAATATTCAAGTGTACTTGGGTTTTTTTTTCTTACCTATCGATTATTCATAAACTTGGTAGACATAAAACTCACCACCCCCCCCAAAAAAAAAAAAATCAATCAAACAAACAAACAAACCGGAAACATAAACAATGTCGGAAATGCTGAGCATAATTTCTGAGATTATATCAATGAAGTACATAATTTATAATCAGTTCTTTTATATAGTAAGCTATTGATCGAAGAAAAAAATGCCAGAAATGCTGAATATACAGGCTATTCCGGAGATAGATGTAGAAAATAATTTAGATCGCTGTTGGTCAAAGAGAATGGAATTTTTAGCGCCTGTATGCATTGCTCCTCATACATGTATATCTGCACTCCCTTTGAATACAATCACACGTTAACTCTCCATTCACAAGGTGGATGACAATTAAATGTTTTTTTTTCTGTGTTAAACATAGACATATAGCTGCTGGAAGAATCATATCAGACCACATCGTTGTCCTCTTTTTGAGAGTTTACTCCTCTAATAAGTTTTTCTTAAAACTATCTTTTCTAGTGTATGCAGTGTTGACAAACTTGAACCTACTGTTTTACCCTAGTGTGTTTGTCCGTCTGTCTGATTGTGTGTCTGTCCGTAACAAAGTTTTGATTATAGTTTTTGCAGCAACTACACTACACAGATGCTTGAAAATTTAGCATTTTCTTCAATGAGGAATGCTATATCGTGGGATCCATTTTTTTTTAAAACTCCGATGTCAACTGCCTGTTAATCCATGCGTCTGTCGTACAATACATAATACAATTCCTTCGCATTTTTATCCAGCAACTACGTGTATTGCAGATGCTTGAAATTTTAGCAGATACTTTGTTGTGGCATGCCATATGATGAGATTTATAATATTTTTGTATGAATCTGACTATTTGTCCGTGCAATGCCCGTAACTGAACTTGTGTAAATATTAATCAACATACCAGTGTATTTTCACATCATGGCGGGGTATAACTAGCAAACGTTGTTTGTCAAGTCCTGTTTAAAAAATATCAAACAAGCATGTAGTATACTTGCATAAAATTTTCCCGAATACCTTGTTTTATGTATATACATATACGTATATTTTTAAAAATCAATACATACGAGTAAGTGCAACACTTTTATTTACGAATATTGGAAACGTTGACTTGAAAACGAAATCATTCAAAGAAGAAGGTATGGTTTCCATACAAATCTTGCCCTGTGATTTTCTAAAAAATGAAACTGGTGTAAAAGTTGAAAACTCATGCTTTTTAAATAATTGAAATTCAATGCAGAAAAATCATTTAAGTCATTTTTCTCACATGTGTTATTAAATGCTAATTATGACGTCATAAACATGTGCATTTTCCCGTATTTTCTTTAAAAATTGCAGAAGACACCAATTTCAATGGAATTTCCTTTCAGATAACATTGTCCACAGGCATCGCCCACAAAGATCTTGAGATATGTGATTTGTTATTAAATTTTGCACAAAATATCAACAAAAATTAATGTGGGCGACGGCTGTGGACACTGTTTTCTAAAAGAAAACCATCCTGGAAATGTGCAATTTTGAGGTTTTTTCTGTTGAAAATAGAGAAATGCTTCACATTAATAACGTCATATTTGCAGAATGGTAAACCTTCATGCTATTTCTTTCCTGATTTATCAGATTCATTTATCTAACAAATGTTTAAGCCAGTTTCAAAACTTTTTGATGTCATTACATTTTTAGGGCGCAATAAAGCTAAAACCATAGCTTCTTCTTTAAATTAACCTACATCTTTTTCAACATGATATTGTCGTTTCTTTAGGTTTTTTCCCTTTCCAAAAGTGTATTTTTTTTATTGCTGTGTAAGGCGGAAATAATAAGGTTGTATTTTTTTACGAATTTGAATTTAAATCGAACAAGAAATACGATTAAATGTAAATTAAAACAAAGCTTTGTTCTATGAACAAAACCTCTTTTTCATCAATTGTATGCGTAAAGTGTATGTATTAACTTAAATATTTCTTTATAATTCTATACGTTCCTTCTGTCGATTTCTGCACGGGTTTTATCAAACTATTTACATAAAAAAACTTTGATAAATTCTGGATCAAGGATTCCATCTCACACAAGATTGAGGGACTTCCACATCACTAAACCAGTGGACCAAGTCTGTGAGCTTATTTAGTGTCAAAATAAAGACATTCTTAATATTTGTCTCGCATCCCAAGTTTCGTCAAATAAGTCGAACGACTCAAATTGAGGGAAAATATTCGTATATGCGAAATATATTAGAATGGAATTACAAAAATTATAATCTAATCATTTATTATCCTACCATTAAAACTTTACGCGTAATCAGAGCAGAAGACGTCGAAAACGAAATGTGCGTTAAAGTGCGTGATTTCGGGGCAAAGGTATATGCGTTAAAATGCGTGATTGCGGTGCAACGGTATATGCGTTAAATCGCGTGATTGCGGGGATGGGGGTTAAGGGTCCCTTAATTACGGAGTCAATATTGCGAATTTTTACGCACAAATAAAAAAACATGTGAGATAACACTATATATTCATATATTTTAGATTATTCATAGTATTTGAATTATCTGAAATCATTTGTTTTAATTTCACATTGATTTGAGTGGGGTAATTTCTACATTTTTGAGACAGTTTTAACGATAAAAACCTCATTTTGTAATAAGTTATGTCAATAAATATTGCTGGATTAACGATTGAATGTTAGTTCTTTATCATAATTATTAACAGCATAATATTGCAGGGAGAATCTTACCTCAATATCGCACAGGGCATCGTTTAATTGAATTTAAACATGATAAAAACGCTTCACGTTTGTATTTTCTGAGTGCAAAATTGTGACGTCACACGAAAACATAAACGTGCAACATTATCTAAATTATCTATATTCATGGAATATCTGCTATCAAGCACAAAAAAATATTAATTAAAAAATCTGCTTCAGAAATTAATCACGATGTGACGTCAACCTGTTCATTTACGTACAAGTTTAAAAATTTCAGTGGGAATTGAAGTGGGTCGGTCACGTGATCAAATCACGTGATTGGTCGGCGAAAGTGATGGATGGGTCCGAGGGCTGGAAACACTTTACCGGGTCAGTGTACTTGCAATCAAGCATTATTTGAAAATATGAGAAATTCTACAAATATATATACTATGAAATAAAACTGATGATGACGGGTGTAGCTAATGTGTACTTGATCTCGCTGCACTGAGAATTCAAACACTACGTCTATGATGTCACTGACGTCAGACTGCAGGGTAAAGAGAGCGGATGCGTGGATTTGGCAATATTACACATTATGTAAATGTTCGCAACATCTTAAAAAATCTTAAATATTATTTTCAAAATAAAAAAAAAACAATTTTAGGATAAAATTACACAAGAACTGTTGAATTTAAAAACGTTTAACATGCACATCAACATCGACTATGACGTAATTTGTCTTTTGAGTCGTGTGACATGTGCCCTGTCTCCCATAACATATCTTATACTTCTTTTTTACGGCCATCTTTTTCACAATAATCTAAAACATAATTTTTGACTACTCTTTTTCGGAATGTGGTCCTTCCCTATACAGTAATCTTATAGTCCATAGAATACCTATATCCGAAAACATTGGCAGATAAAACTACTCACTCGCTGTTCCGTTGTATCCAGACACTGTAAGCGTATATTTATTGTCTTCATCCCCGATGTAAAATGTAGAATACACAGCATAAGCCTGTTCGCCGTCATGTCTCTCGAGATCAATTCGAAGTTCCTGGTTTTTATCTCTTGTTAAAGCGTAGATTGCGTCATTCCCTAAATTTTAATAAAACCACTTTTTAACACTTTATAAATATTCTATTACAAAAAATACTAAACGATTCCGAGATCAACCCCGGGTTAAAGCGGAAGTGGGTATCCTTATAAATAAAAGTGAATCCCTTCATGCTCTCTCTATCTCTCTATTCTTTTATATATTTATTTATAAAGCACTGAAAACTACAAACTTAAAGATTAAATTAAATTGTCAAAACTTCCTTGAGAAAAAGAAAAAGAAGTTATAAACTCATGAGAACAAAAGAAAAAAAAGAAACACGTAAAACAATTTCCACAAATGCTGTATGCTGTAACCTAAATGCCCAGCATAGGACAAATTTGCAACTCTCTACTGACAAGTGGTGGCATCTCAATATACGAGGAGTGATCAAAACATTCGCGAACAATCTCTTTATCTACAAAACCACATTTGAAATTAGAAAAAAAATTAGTACACACATAGCTATACACAAGTTTTATAAATAGTATAAGCTAAATAAAGGTTTTCTCCTTGTTTGTGACGTCACAATGTGAAAATGACGTCACTATGCAGGTCACTTGTGACGAATAATGGTTGTATTTGTCAAACTCGTTCAACAAACGACTGTTAAAGGACAAGTGCACTTAAGCAATGCTTAATAAACCCTTTTTATGTGCCATTTTAATTACATTAAAATATTTTACCAAATCGTTCTCTATTGGTAATAGTTAGATACTAATTTATATTTCTAATCAAAAAGCATGTTAAGCATCACTTGAATCAGCACTTTGACAAAATAGTTATATATTTCAACAATAATGTAATCATCAAATACCTACAAGATATCGGTTACTTTAGATTTTAATCATATAAGATATGATAAAAAGGAGGCACCCATTCTCTATATCCACCTAGAAAAAACGTCTCTCCTCAGACAGAAGATTTGGGTTTTGATGGTCGCCATGTTTATTTTTAGAAAGGATATTCTTATCCGACCATTTTGTTGATGAGATTTGATCATTTTTGACAAATTAACTGTTTTTGTTATAAAAATTAACTCACATAGAAAAAAATATAAAACTCTTATAAATATTTTACTTTTTGTGGCAGAACGTTATAGAGGAGGTCACATGACTGCCTATATCATGTGATTTTCGCATGAGCATAACGCTAAAATTTACAATATGCTGAAAAATGATTTTGTTTGTTAACATCAGGGGTTGAATCTATAGCTAAATCACGTTCATTTCGGTAAAGTCACTTAGCTTGTTAATATCATTTGGGCAAATTGACTTCAATATGTGCATCCACAACTTTTCTTTCCTTTATATAAAATAAATTATACCTATCCAATAGTTTGTAGAGGCTTCCCCAAATCCAGATTTGTACAATATCCATGTTCTGTAAAAGCTCACTTGACTATCCTGTCGTCTTTGAATGACCTGTAATAATTATAATGCAAGATGTTTAGAACATGCACTAAATTTAGATCTTTTTGAAATTGAGAAACGGTGTGCTCAAAATCAAACGATATTAAATGTAGATAAAACAAAATACATGTTAATGGGAACACAGCAAAGAAAATCAAAACTAGATAATCCAAATATACAACATTATGCCTCAGACAAAACGATTGAAATGGTTGAAACTGAAAACTTCTTGGTGTACATATTGATGATAAGTTACAGTATGCGAATCATATTGATTCAGTTTGTAAAACCTTAAATTATAAGTTATTTACTCTTCGTGGGATTAAGAAATATCTCCCTCTTCATACCAGAAACTTTATTACAATGCTTATATTTTACCATCTATTAACTATTGTTTGACTTTTTGGTGTAATGCCCGAAAGCAGGACAGGGACAGAATATTTGAGTTACACAAAAAAGGCAGCAAGGATTACTGTAAACAGGGTTATTTTCGCCCCGTGTTATTTTCGCCCTTTTTGAAGTTATGAACAATAATGTCCCGTTTTAAATTCGCCCAGTCATAATTCTGTTTAAGAAATTATGAGGTGTAATTTGAATTCGCCCCGTTTTAAATTCGCCCAATCAAGGAGAGGGCGAAAGGGGCGAAATTAAAACAGGGGCTAAAATTTCCCTGTATACAGTATTCTTGACGCAATTCCTGATTCTTCTTCTAAACCACTATTTGAGAAATTTGGATGGTTTACTATTTATGAGCCAGTTGATCTAAACAAGTACATATTATTATACAAAATTTTTAGCGGAATGACTTCCGAATATCTTAATAATTTATTTAAATTCCATTCTTCAAATTTCTATAACTTGCGATCTGAAACAAATTACGATTTTAAAATACCAAAAGTTCGTACAAACTTATTCAAGACCTCTTTTCAGTACACAGGTGTACATCTTTAGAATAAACTTCCATAACACATTAGACTCTCTCAATCTCTACGAGAATTTAGGCGTAATGTAGAAAATTACATCATCAGCTGTCGCACAATTATCTGAGCATTTTTGTGATTGTCATATAACTGTATCGTCATATATATGTACATGGACATTCCATTTATAATTTTGTGATTGTAAATCCTGTTATTTATGATGAATTGTGTCTTTGTATATCTCTTGTATATTTTTGTAATTGATTTATAGAGGGCACTGGGGAAGAATAGTGCATGCACTAACCAGGTTACCCTCTTTAAATAAAGTTTTATTGTTATTATTATTATATGTTTAATTCTGGTTGTAACGCTGTATTTGATTGGGTAAAAAATGTACATCATATCGTATGAAATGGGTTGCCTACGTCACATGACTTACGTCAAAAACGTATCAATCCGCCTGACGTTACATTCAAATTTTGTACAAACTGAAGTTATTTTGTTTGGACAATCATCTTTATTTCTTACATCAAATGAATGAAAATTAAATTATAAGCAATGAATTTCATATACCCATTTTATACGGTATAAACTGGGTTGAAACAGTTTACAATTTTTTTATAAAGCGCTTTGCAGTTTGTAAAGCGTAAACTGCCCCAACCTAGTTTATACCGTATAAAATGGATAGCTATTAAATTCATTCCTTAATAAACAATACCAGAAAAACAATTGCTTCTTGTAAATATAGACATCTACGGCTATGTTACATTGTCCGTAATTATCTTCAGTTGAAACATATGGATACCCTAAAATCTGGAAAATAAGCCGCGGCTCATTTTAAGTTTTCGTAAGAAAGTGGGGGCTTATTTTCAAAACCGGCTTATTTTCAAATTGCAGCTTATTATCAATGCAAAAAAAAAAAAAATGGTAAGAGAAGAGAGCACAATCATTGTTTATTTTCAATGCAATCATTGAATAAAGTGCAATCAATAGAATAAGAACGTCTTGTTCGAACTAAAATTAAAAAATCATACATGTAAAAAAATAAAGTAATTACATTAATACTTTGTTTAGTATTTTGCTTGTAGAAAAAATACCGTGAAAGTGGAAAGTTTGACGAGGAGGAAACATTTACGAATCACTTTAGCTCGTCAAAGTTTTCTATCGTCATTTTTTTTTTATTCATTGGCGTTTCCCGGTGTACGTTCATTAGGTCTATGGTGTAATCAACCGTCTACTTTACATTTTGAAATGCCGATCCCGAAAAGATAATTTCATTGTATGCAGCATATAAATTTACATGAAATTATAAACTTGTTTTAAAAAAGTCAAAATAATACGGGTATATAAGATACCCGCTTGCAATTGAATCACTTGATAAATTAATCAAACAAACACAAATTTAAACAAGTCAATTATACGGTACATTGAAATGTAATTACTACCATTAGCCCTGCCGATCACCATGATAGCAATTTTAGTCTGATTTCTGGTTTAGATTTACCTGGATTTACCTGTGAATACCTGATTTATCTTAATGTATTCTTAAGAGGTTTATTACAATTTTATAAGCATTTTATTAAAATTCTATATATATCTATGGGAAAATATTTGAATTTATTGAATCAATTATTAATATTTGTTTCATATTATTTATTTTTGAGTCCAATTTCTTAAAAAAATATGTACCTTTCAATTTTGATCTAATTCTAAATAAATTAAAGATTTACATATAATAAAGAAAATAGTGAATAAAAATTAATTTGAAATGATGTTATAATAAGATCATCAGATAATCGAATACATTAACTTTGTATTTATTCTCTTATGTTTTCATTATAAGTTCATCGCTCACTAACTAAGCAAAGTATAGTATAGACTATAGCAATTAAGTAATTATCTCACCTGGTCAAATTCCCGTTTTTCACACATTTTTAATCACCTGTAATTAAATGTGTGCAAAATGGGAACAAACCTTGTTAGCTTGTACAGGTCTAGATGAGATAATTATTAATCTGACAATTTCCTGAAAAAAAAATTCACCATGTTAGTTGGTTCCGCAATGAAGTTTTTTTAGCCAGCGTAACATGCTTACTGGTAAAAAGAATTAACTTTAAAACTATCCTTTATTTGTAATTTTACATTATTACATCATTAGTGGTTACAGACTTAGTTCGGACTATGTCGTCATTACTCGTACTCGCTCGTACTATGTTGTATGCAGAAATTGGTAAAGGTTAATTAATGAATTAAAGAAAGATAATTCATTTGTATTTGTACAGTAAAAAAAAAAATCGTCAAAGTTTTCACTCGTCAAATTTTCAAGACGCGGAAATCGTCAAACGTTCAACATCTTTCCTTAATGGCATTGTCATGACCGGCTTATTTTCAAAACTGGCTTATTTTCGAGTAATTTTAAATGCAAGAAATAGGTGGCTTATTTTCAAAACCGGCTTATTACTAAATCCGTCTTATTTTCAAGATTTTAGGGTATAATAAACAGTCTTTAAGATCAAAAGTCAATAAAACAATACAAAACAGGAACAGATCAAACATGGACCTCCGAAACATCAAAGGCGTGATCAGGTGCCATGGAGGAGTGAGCATCCCATGCTGACCGGTCACACTCGTCGTGTGATCATTGTCGTGATTTGGAAATAACAAAAAAGAATCTGTGGTCAATTTAGTGTATAAAGAATGGATTAATATTTAGTATGAAAAACGTCAATCAGCATTTGACTCAACGCAAGTTAGAATATATGCCAGTTTATTATACTATATTGTGATACTGAGGCGTTACTGGATAAAACTGGGTAATATCGAAATGTCTTAACATCTATGAATATCATTGTTCAAAGGGGTTTAGAAACTAAATCCGAATCAATATTTTGCTAAGTTACTTAATTTTCCCCTGTCCGTGATTTAGCATCTTCGCTAGCCAAGGGTTTCTGATATGCTACTCTCCTCATAAACCCTTGGCCTACGGTGTTCATAGAAATCGGGATTTTTTTTTCCAGAGTTCTTATTGGATTTCAATTCACCCAGGTCGACCAATCAGCAATTGTTTTTTTGTAAATGACGATATTTGCGTTCGGGATACATCTTCACTCTTTAATCTCGGAAATGAAAAACGCAAGCAAACAACGATCCGTAAGATAACATTCAATTCTATGAATATCCATGGTGTCATCCAATATCTTATAAATATGTGATTGTGAATCTATATTGAAGCTTCAGATTTGTTCTATAAATAATGAATAAACATAACTCAATTATTGCTTCTTATTTCTCTTGAAAACACTTTGATTTCATTTTTTAACACGTGTCTTTATTTCTGGCGATGACGCAATATGTGCGTACCTGGTAGATTCGAGATCACGTGACGGAAAATAATCCCGGCTTTAGACTTCACCGTATGCCAAGAGTTTATGAGGAGAGGAGCGTATCAGAAACCCTTGGCTAGCGAAGATTGTTATTTAGTACAGTTAAATCGAAGAACTTCAGATTAAAATTCTACTGCCCTTTGTTATGCTAGGGTTTGTCACTCAATGCTTGGTCAATGCTACAGTAAAATATAATAGTTCTTTCTATATTACATCTACTAATTCAGGTGCTAGTGTTCCAGGATAGCCATAATGTTATCATGATAGATTTTTGGTATGTGTGTTTAAGATCCTTAACATGTGTTACGGTCTTTTCCACACGTAAGCAAAATCTAAAACACTACTCACCGTCCACCCTCCTCCATCTGTTGTCATGTCACAGAACACCTCTCTCCGGGTGTCAGGGTAGATTACGTATACGCCATCTTGTCCTTTCTTGCTTGGGTCTCTTTTTACAATATCTGAACAGTCTTTATATATTTTTTCTATTTTGTATAAAAAAGATAAATTCTATGAATGCTTTTATAATGCTTATAGGATGTACGTCCACGGATTGAAGAACTGAACTGAATTTTATAAATGAGAATGTAACTTCAATTAGTACGTGCTGTTGTTTCATATATTTTTGTTAGCATCAATTTTCGTGATTTTGTAATACAAGTCTTTTCGAGCATACGTTATTGCGTAATTTCGTGGACAAAAGCCTCGCCTTTATAAATGAATGACATACGTATTTCTTAATTCAATGAAGATTTAAATTCGTGGATCTCATCAACAACGATATGCTCGAAAATTGGTGCTCAACGAATATTAAATGACTCACCGTATTTCAGTTTTGATTTTACATATTTTGCGGAACCACAATTAAAAATCTTTAAATTTTAATGTCTGTTAATTGAGATCAATAGCTCATATACATATAGCAACTGATTTAGAAGATGTACCAAAAAGTTTGCCGAATGGATGTTTCATTCGACCGTAGCATTGAAGGAATTGCTTTGCTTTATGCCTTCCGTGCATAAGTACCTCGGATTCTAAAGTCTAACCCAAGTGCGTCGGGCATTCAATTCCCACTTGGGGATGAAAATACACTGTATTTTTTAACAATCTTAGGTTTTACACGGCGGCGTTAGCTCGTTATATTGAACTCCAATAAATTGATTTGAACCTAGCTGTTGTAATAATCATTCAAAGAAATATGTTAAACACATTATATGTTACCTTTTAAAATAGGCATACAACTACCCCCAAGACAGATTGCATCTTCGGTACAGGCAAGCTTGTGACAATCGGCCGTCATGTGCTGAAAGTATTTCATCCTAAAGTGGCACCTAGTTTAATATTTAACCAAATTGCCTTTTATCTAAATACTTTATTATCTTGTATGTTGCTTACCTTCGGAAAACTTTCCCGGTCAACATGAATGATGCGTCCACCGGTCATAAGACTATTAACAGTATTGATGCCAAATCTCGTGTTTAGCCGACATGTCTTTGTTTCTCGTATCCAATCCACTGAGCGACACAACTCAAACTTGTGACAAACCCTCATGCAACTTCCCATTTCAGCATTAGTTAAAAGGTTAAAGCCAGGTACTGAGGAACTTTCAAAATTGCTGACGATTAAAGTTTTAGGAAAGAAGCACTGAGAGTAGCATGTCTGTAAAAGGCTTAATGTTTGTCCAATGTGGAAAACATAGATCACATTAGTGTCCACTGTTAATTTCATTTTAACAGTGTTCTGTAAGAATTGTCGGTGGCTTTTACTAGATATAATCTTCTATGCGAGTTCTCTTTACTCCCATATCATATATACCTATATGCAAAGGTCTGTTTATGATTGATGAAGTCTCACGTGATAGTATCGTTCGTGTTGCATTGGATAAATTGTTAGGTAACCTAAAAACATTGTCGATTGAAATTTTTACAGTTATTCATATTAAAATATTTTTTGTCTTATTTAGAAAAATAATGATAATAAATATTTTCCTTATCTGTACTAATTTTATTATCTAATATATATTTTCTGTACAGAAAACAGAGCTAGTACGCATGTTTGTAAAATTAAGTACCGACACTTACATTAAAAAAAATGTGAAAAACAAGAAGAATTGACCATTGATGAAAAAAAATTAACTAACGTATATTTTCAAATATATTCCTGTCATACATACAATCGATCAAATAGGTATGGAGCACTGGGGAAATTTAATGTTTTTTGTGATCTTAGATTTATTGATTGCATTTAATTTAACATCCCATTCGACAATTTTACACTCATATAAGGACGTCACCGTATGCCGGTGAAGGACTTTAAAATGAGACCTATACTCGGCTGAGGGTTCTTTATCGTGCCAACGTGTTCTGCGACACAGGGCCTACGTTTTTAAGTTCATATCCGAAAAACCCTGACTTTCACTTCTACTGCCGAGCTCTTGGCGAAGAACAGTCACTACCAATATTTACATCTTAGATTTGATGTGGCACCGCGAACAAGAATCGAACCTGGGCCACCCGATCACGAAGCGAACGTTCTACCATTTTAGGCTACAGTGACCGTGTGAATTTTTTACCTACAAATAAGCTCCCTCACTACACTATGATGGCACTCTGTAATAAACATTCCAATGTACTGTAGATTACTTTTTAGGAAGTATTTATCGCAAAATGGCTCTTTTACGGCAAATTGCGAGAATAATAATTAGCAAATGGACAGTAGATTCAGAAATTTTGCATGGATTTTAGTACCATAAAAATAAAAGTGAGTAATTTGATTTCGTGAGTATTGCTTCTCGAGAAACTACGTTATAATTTATTCCTCGTGTATAATTAGAAATCTACAGAAAGAATACATATATGTAATAATACTGTAAAATCACATATTTTGGAAGGGTCAAAAACCACAGGGATTTGATTTCGTGCTTGAAGTTTTTTTTTGTAGTAGAAATGAGTAAAAAATTGCATTTCATGTTGTACATAGATTGTTGGTGTCTCTTCATACCTTGAAAACAGCGAACACTTAACCTCCAGGAAAAAAAAAAGAGATATAAGGGTGTGTATTTCTGTTCCTCAACTAACTGCGGGTCTTTGAAGTATTTCGTCATGCTGTGAGAGTGTAAAAAACTTCCAGTAGAATCAGAAAGATAGTTTTTGAATAGTTTTGTCACATTAAAAATTATTAATTCATCAGCAATTGCGCAGGATTTCAACTGGTTTGTTTAAAATGTTCTGCGCTCCACCAGCATGAGGTATAAATCTCGAAAGGCATGTTAAATAAACAAACAAAACCATTACATTCTTTCATATCAGATAATTAACCACTTCTGAAAGCTGACAATGAATGAAATTGATCTGAAAAATGTTGCATTCTCTTAATTCTATTTTCTTAATCAAACCACTTATGATATTTTATCTTTTATTAGTCCCCTACCGGTGAAACCGGAGGGAACTTTAGGTTTCCTCTGCGTCTGTCCGTCCGTCTGTCTGTCTAACTGTCTGTCCGTCTATCCGTCCGTCCACCCGTCCATCTGTCTGTCCCCGTCTGTCTGTTAGTCTGTCCTACTTAATTTTTCGCACTTTTTCCTAAACGCATGCAGACATTGAGATAAATTTTGGTATGTATGTGTATCTTGATGAGTTACAAATCAAGTTTAAATTTCGTATCGCTTCATTGATTTTTGACAAAACTATGGCATTTTGAATTCTTCGGAAGATTGGGTTCGTTCTGCGCTAACTTTCGATTGATTGATTGTATACTGTTTAACGTCCAGCTCAAGAATATTTCACTGATATGGAGACGTCACCATTGCCGGTGAAGGGCTGCAAATTTAGGCCTATGCTCGGTACTTACGGCCTTTGAGCAGGGAGGGATTTTTATCGTGCCACACCTGCTGTGACACGGGGCCTCGGTTTATACGGTCTCATCCGAAGGACCGCCCCATTTAGTCGCCTTTTACGACAAGCAAGGGGGTACTGAGGACCTATTCTAACTCGGATCCCCACGGGGCCTAATTTTCGATGGTCGACATAAATATGAAGCGAGAAAAAGACGTTGGAAAAATGAATTGGATCTTCGTCTTTATCTGGATTATTTTATTTGGTTAAAGGCATTCACAACCTAAAAATCAAGCAGTTTGTTGCATATTATAAGATGACATCCTGAAGAAAAAGGGGGATACCGGTAGTGGACATGTATTGCTTATGCAATACTCTCAGAATGTTTGTTGAAAAAGCAAATCTTTTTGCTGTTTTAATGACACAATCAGATGTAATAACACTTACAATAAACCGAAACACTACATATTTATGTTGTTAGTTTTGCCTTAACTAATTCAGAAAGATCGTTTTAACAATACATTAAATGAATTTTACAAAAAAAAAAAAAACAATTTTATTTGGTCAGACAGAAAAAGATTTTGCATGTATACCAAAAATATGCATTAACTAATATTTAAGATAGGGATCAGCTTTTTCGGTGAAGAAAGTTTTGTCTTTCTTTTTTTTTTTTCATTTTTTTTAAATTATGACAATGTTTATGATGACTTTACTAATTCTTTACATGACTACTGTTTGCATTAATCATTTGATACCTAAAGTGTCTTTAAAGGAATATTGAAAATATTAAAAAATAAAATCCAAAGTACGTCATTGAACCTTTGTTTCTCTAATGCCATACTTAACAAACATTTAAAATTCCATTTCAGTTGAATTTTAAAAGATAAATAATCAAAAGAAATAGGAGTAAGTGTTATGTAGAAAATTGTTCCAATCAGACACATTTCACTTGTTGTAAACCGTAGAAAGAAAAGCTTGGATTCGATGAAACAAAAATGAAAAATTTTAAATATTTAAATGGACTTCAAAACACTTCTCTGATGTACATGTACGTCTCCATTAACATCTATAAAACAGTTTTAATTTCAAACAATTTTAGAAGACAGTGTTCTGCTGATACAGGGTATATCCGGTTTGATTGAATTGTGGATCCTAAGTAAATAGCGTTCTGTAGTTGTTAAGCTAAATTTCTGGGTTTTTTTTAACATCACTGATTGTTTCAGCTTACATGAATAGAGGATTTTCATTATTATGTAACTGAATATGGATTTTTAATTCACGAGCAAGACAAGATTTTTCTCAAAATATCTTTTTACGAGTGCAAATCCTGTCCACTCGTGAAATAAATTACATATTTAACTACAAAAACATTTAATTTTCTGTTTCTTACATTTTCTTTGATTTTGCATTGCCTCTTTTTTGTAATAGAGCGGCATACATTGTATGTTTAGGCCTTATTAAGTCATAGATGAGCGGGTGAGACATCAAAACTACGTGATGTAAGATTTACATTGTAAACATGGATTCCAACGACATATTCGGGGAGAATGTTAAATTTCTCTGCTTATCTTATAACAGGCTAATAGGATATTTAAAAAAAACATTCTTCGTTACGGGAGGGAAATTGAAAGTTTTTCCGCACTTCTGATATTTGTCACTCTGTAAAAGGATATCAATTTGATATCCCTTTTCTGTGACAGAACATAATCTACATTCAATGAATAAATCACATTATTTTACTTCTGGAAATGTAATGAAGAAATATATGCGTAAAAGCTATGTTTTTCTTTTAATCTTTATAACAGTTAGCACTTAGTTACAAACTAACATCATTTTTTTTACTTTTTTGATTAATTAAATTATGGCATGTACATTATTTTGCTTTAGCGTACGAAACAGAGTGATTTATACTAGTTCAAACTGATGAATATTTTAACACTTAATTAAACACTTAATTTTTCACGCATTTATTATACCCCCCGCAAACGAAGTTTGGGGGGTATATAGGAATCACCTTGTCCGTCTGTCTGTCTGTCCTCCTGTCTGTCTGTCCGTCTGTCTGTGAAATCGTGTCCGGTCCATATCTTTCTTACAGAGGGACATTAGAATCTACTACATCACACTAAGATTGCTCATGACCTAAGGGTGTGTCATGACCTTGAACCAAGGTCATTCAGGGAAGTTCAAGGTCACTGGAAGAAAAATTTCATAATTCGTTTTTCGGTTCATATCTTTCTTATGGATAAACTTGGTAGGTTCTCATTTCACACAAATATTGCCCATGACCCAAAGGTGTGTCATGATCTTGACCCAAGGTCATTTGGGAAAGTTCAAGGTCACTGGAAGAAAATTTACATAAATCATGTTTGATACATATCTTTTATAGATAAACTTGGTAGATTCGCATTTCACACAAATATTGCCCATGACCCAAGGGTGTGTCATGACCTTGACCCAAGGTCATTTGGGAAAGTTCAAGGTCACTGGAATAAAAATTTCATTATTTGTTTTTGATACATTTCTTTATTATGGAAAAACTTACTTCTGAAAAACCCAGCGTGGGGTATTTTGTCCCGTTTGGACAGTTCTAGTGTATTATGGGGCAGTCTGTTGCTATATGTCTTTAACCAATTGTTGAAGGTTCCTGTAGAAACATGATTGTGATAACATGGTGATACTTTGGTGCTGTCAGTAGTGGTGACCTAGAGGACTCCTTGAGGACTGATTACA